ATTACTTGTGCATCAAATAAAGAGGAAGAAATATACTAAAGACGTTTAGAATAGAAACATTAGAACCTTATTATCAACTATTATGAATACTTGGAACATATGCATAATTTTTTTGTAAAAACAAAAATTTAGTTTTTGAAGGTTATGCGAATGTTACAATAATTCAACGCTGATCTGAAAAATTTAAAGCTGGTGATTTTTTATTAGGAAATTAACTTATTCATCATCGTTTTCTATCCTTTGATTGTATAATTAATGCAGAATTCTATTACAATGTAACAGAAGAAATGCATTCAAAATTAATAAAAATACAGAATTACGTAAAAATTATTCTAATCAAATGTACGATGTTTTATTAAAAATAGTTTTATATATGTAGTTCGAGTTTCGTCTGTATACACGACATTCCACATGTATTAGGTGGACTGGAAAGTAATGTCGTTTTTGCCATCTTAAATACTTGTTTATCATTTATCAGCTCATTGATTTTTCTGGCATTGAAAATTTGCACACTAGGTGACAAAAGGCTGCTGACAATGAGAGCGATTATATAATGAATTCAAGACAGAAATTTATTGGAAAGTTTCAATTTATTGTAAAAGAAACGACATTACTTTTCGGTCAACCTAATACCAACTTAATAGTAGAACCTGAAGACTAGCCAACGACCATGAGAGACACAACGCGTCGAGGCAATCGCGGTCCGCTGGGAAAATCGTGGGACATCGCCGATTCCAGAGAGATTCGCTCGGGTACGATTTTCCAGAAAGCGTGGCGAATGATCGGGAGCGCGCAACGGCTTCGACGATTGTGCAAAGATCCAGGCTGTGCACGATACATATGTATCAGGAATACATATATTAGCGCGTGTAGTACGTAGCGGTGAGCCAGGCCGAGGTGTATCGAGGTCGACCGGTTCTCCAACAGCCGTCAGCCGTTAAGGGACATTGCGACACACGCGCCAGCGCCGGGTTCTCCCTCGTTCTCTCCTTCGTCTTTTGCGCCGACCCGCACTGGGGAACTCTCCAGGAATTGCGAATAAATTGTTATTAGCTCTTACTCCAAGCAACGTCGCCGATCGGGTACCCTTTTACCTACGCGACGACCTCCGACCGAATGCCACGTTTCTTCGACCTCTCCAGGAACGCGATTCGATCACCACGAGCTGGTCATCGATACCTTCTTAACACATTCGCGACCGATTACGTGAATTCACGTCACATCAAATTCTATTTCTGGTTATGACAAAATTATGAACATCTTTTTATTTCTTTTTTATTACGAGAAAATTCAGGTCTAAAAGGATCGAACACCTTATCTTCGGAAAAAGTTTTTTTAAATTCCTAGTGAAAAGTCCTGTCACTTATGTGTATGGGTGACGTGGCTGTAAACGTATTAAGGATTTACTATAGCGGTGCAATTCAGTGTTGTCTTTTCTTTTAATACTTTTTAGTTATAACGATTGCATCCAATGATACAGTGAAACGTGTTGGGAAAATCATAATCGGCGCACTTTCGGCCATCTTAGTGATAAACCGAATGCCGATGCGCCTTTGTTTTCACGTCGACACGGACGTGTCACGCGCTCCACCAGTCCGATCGCTGCACTGCGACTACATATTCACACGCGTTCAAAATGTCTACTACCTGACCGTTGCTTTTTCCAGTCGACTTTTTGTTTCCAAAGTCTGATCTAGGCTCGGAAGAACGTCTCATCGCGCGTGCAAATGATCCGGCATTCAACAATCAAATTTCACGCGTGACTGAAAATTCGAATAACCGGTACCAGGATAACCAGTCGTTCTATTGCGATAGGCGGTCGGATTTATAGCCGGGACAATCTGTCGGTTATTTTAATACTCGCGCTGGAAAGCACGTAACACCCGGCGTAGTTAAGAATATATCGGAGCCGAGCCATTTTTACCAACAACCGAGCCACGGTTTAGCGGGAGACCGGTCATTTTTACTTTCTATTCTTTTTCTCGTCGAGAGACACGTATCGCGAAGCCACGGTTCACGGGAATCGTAATTGGCCCCGATCCGATTGACGTTGATGAAGCTATCGCAAGAAACACTTTGGGACAATTAACCTACTCGATAATTACCGGTTCTGCGGTGTTAAAAACGACAGCCGACCGGAAAGAGAGCGAAAAGCGACGGCTGCTGGGTATTTTTCTTGGCACTCGAGCCGATCGAGCACACGGTGGGCAAAACGTTTTTGAATATAATAAAAGCCGTTCGTTATGAATAGACTGCGGATCTATATGCAAAATAAAATCATTGCGAACGTATATAACTACGAACATTGAATCTAAATGGAAATTTATTTTTATTATTAAATGTTATAATATAAACTTTACTTTCAATATTTTTGTTTGACATACATTAATATACTTTGATAATTTGACATTCTTTCAATTGAATCTAGATAGAAATTTAGTTTTATTAGTAAATGTTATAATATGAACATGAATTCCTCGCACATTTCCTATATATGCATAAAAATCCGCAGTCTAGTTACGAAAGTGGAGTAAGTTCATCTTCTTGTAAACTGAAGTTACCGCAAGCTTAGCCAGTCAGCTGTGGCGACCTTTTTCCAGATCGCGCACTTATGCAATTTCGCTAGAATTGCACTATGAAGAAAATTAGTCGTCAAACTCAGAGTAAACGACGCTGTTAAAATATTGAATCAAAAAGACGACTATATTTTATAAATGAACAATTTTAATACTAATATTTACTCATTCGCTTAACATGGACATATACCGCATACACAGTAATCGATCAAATTAGGAAGACTCAAATATCTACCAAAGTTAAAAATACAGACTGCTGCTATCGAGTGGTATTCGCTAAACCAAAGTGTACCGATAACATTTGATGTGTGCGGCGTTTTTTTAATCATTGTGCATGATGTAGGGGTACCTATTTCTACCGTGATGGGACAAATGATTAGTCTCAGAGACACTTTTTTTCAATTTAATCAAAAAATATATCACTTGGTATTAAATTGAATAATGCATGAAACAATTGTATAAGACTCTGTATACAAAAGTTTGAAAACGGTTATTTGACCAGTCGTGATGGGATTAGTGTGAATTTTTAAATAAAAACAAATTTTGTAAACGGTTAAAAAACGACATTAACACTTCACCGATTGGTATGAATTGTAATATATTATACAAACATTGATCAAAAAACGATTCTACTAGACATAATAAAGATTGAATAGTACCAATGTTCTCGAAATAAAAAATATTATCGAATTTATTTATATGCCCAATCGCTACCAGACGGTAAACTGTTGATTACGGATACCTTTAATACATTATTCGATTTAATCGCATTGGCGAAAAACAAAGGAGAGAAAAAATGAGAAAGAAAAACAAGGAAATCACGCACGGCGCACAGGGAACCGCAATCGGTGCGGCAACGGTGCCAATGATAAAATCCCGCCGGACGCAAACTGCAGCGCGATGCAGTCCGCAGAGAGAACAGTGCACTGCGGCACGGAGCGGCAAAGAGCGAGATCTCGTTCGTGAAAGTAACGGGCCTCGCGTTTGTATTTTTCAATGCAACCACGCGCCGCGGCCGCGCCGCTCCGCTCGGCGGGTTTATGATTTTGCTTAATTAATGGTTCTCTCTCGCCTCCCCCGTCGACGGGTCCATCCCTTCGAGAGCACCGAGTTACCGCCACCCCGTCGCCCTCCCGCCCATCAACCACCCCCTTCCCTCCCACGGCCAGCTGGCCGACCAGAAACGGCAGTCCGATGGCCATTAGCCTGCACGGATTGCGCAATTTCGGGAAATTGCGAAGTAATTCGCGGTTGTGGCCACTCTCTGCTCGCCGCGAGAGGAACGGAGAGACCGACTGTTCCGAGAGAGGGATGGACCGAGCGCGGTAGAGAGATATTCGTCGCGGATTCGAGGAAAGGACGCCCGCCCGCGGCCGCGACCGTTGAAGCTTTTGCGCCGCGGGCTGCAAGCTTCGACCCCTTGTGTGTTTCGCGGCAATCGATTCCACCAAGAACCGGAAAGGGGGCAGAACGGAGACAATTGACCCGTTCGTTATTACGATGTGCAAAAGAGGGAAAACTTAATATTCACCCTCTTTTTATGCGACTGCTAATAGTTTATCGAACAATATACTGATAGAAAAGAAAGCGAGAACAATTCTATAATACTAAATGAAACGACACGCACGCGATGTTAACGCCTCGTTCTAACCGACAGTTGTGCGACGATAAAACCGCATGTTTTTTAATGTAATGAGAGGTATTATTTATGTTTGAAATATTATATTATTGTATGTAGCAGATTTGTAGAACTCAAGGAGTGTTCATAATGATGGAGAAATTCATTAATATGTTTTTTTTTGAAAAGTACAAAGTTTAATCATTTAATTTCGTTAAAAAGAAGACGAATCGAACGTTATTGTTTCCTTTTTGTTCTGCATTAAATATATGAGATAAGTTACCCATAATAAAATTTTGTATGAACCACTTGTTCTATTATGTAAAAATTAACTGAACACTTTCGTCCACCAGTTCATAAAACGAAGGTTCTACTGTGTTTGAGGTTCTACTTATTTTACTATAATTTAATAATCGACAACGTAAAAACGCAATATTATGCTAGAAAAACGTTAAAGTAATCAATAATCACGCGATTAAGAATACATAATATACATACATATAACACACCGTGTTAAAAGCTTCAGAGATTTATTTTCTACCGTGACAACAACTAGTGGTTCATAATAATAATAATTATAATAAGAATATAATAAGAAGAAGAAGAATAATGATAGTAATAATAATAATAATAATAGTAAGAGCACCATCACCACCACCACCGCCGCCATCAGCATCGCGTTCAAAGATGAAAAAAGTCAGCAAACGGATAGATAGCAGAGAATAATAGATTGTGACGAGCAGTCGCGATCGATGGCGGTCAGCTTAATAAAATGGGAAAAAATAAAAAAGAAATGGCTACAATACCGATGCTATTCTGAGTACTGAGTTCCCAGTCTTTCATGAGGATTTCTCGGGCAGGTCAGGATGACAGCGACGTGGGTGCACCTACAATGCAGACAGTGAGATCGTACATGTAGAAATTTGTCAACATTCGAAGTAATGCGAACGTTGAATATTCGCTAAAAGTATTCAGCCGTAACTTGTATCGAATAAATAATAACAATTTAACGATAAAAATTGTTTATCTTTGAATCGTTATTCGCTAATTTTATATAAATAATAATGTTGCCCATCTCTGATGCATTTATTACGCTGTAAAACATTCGCAAAGTAATTCTCGCTTTCGAGTGACAAAATCTGAGCCATCAATTTGCTCGAAAACGAGTTAAGTAGCGATTTCAATTCGAAATTAAGGCTGCCTGTGCAGGTATAATACTTTCCGACGGGAGAAACGAATGAGATACGCCGAAAGTGAGCGCGATACGGTAACAGCGAGCGTGATTCGCATTACACGCGCTCGATAAACGTAACTTTAAAGCGATGCCGCTCGCATACCAGTATGCCAGCCACTATTGCGAAATAGATATTCTTATATTTTTCCATATAGCGTTATGACGATATTCTCAATGATCTCGTCAGATTTCCATGAATAAAATAGGTCGAAAATGGCCTTTATCTAGAGAGTAAGTGTTGTGATTTATTAATTAACCGACTTCCAAAGGAGGAGGTTACTCAATTCGACATGTATTTTCATTTTTTTTTTTTTTAAACGTTCGTTCACCGATTACGTCGTGACCCAGGTTTTCATTTTTTTACTTGTTTTTTCTTGCAAAAAATCGAAAAATTTTGTAGTGCTTCTTACTCCGAGACGGATGGACCAATCGGATAGAAACTTCTTGGATCTGGTAGAGCATCACTGCTACTTGATTCAAAAAAAAAAAAAACCTTCGACTTATTCAATTCATGATTCCTGATTTGGAAAATTTGTAATGAGATAGCTTCGAGCGCAAAGGGTTAAAAGATAAAGACAAGAAATTGCAGGCGATCTGGCACAGCAGGATCTAATAATAATTTGTACGCGAGCGAGTTTTTCTTGCATTAGCTAGAAAGGACCGGACGTCCCGACTTTCACGCGGCAACGCGGTGAAATCGCCGCGTTATAATCCGCCGGCAAAGCGACTCGCGGTTACGCTCGCGAGCATCTTCGGAAAGCGTGGAGGCGAGCGTTGGCGAACAAACAAGTTACATATTGCAAATATAACGTGCACGCTTCTGCTCTCCTTTTCGAGCACGAATTACGTAACGAGCGGCACGAATCACCGATTTTCTTCGCCAAGCGCGAGACGTCCGAAGTAATTAACGGAGACGAGTGACAGCAAGCCACCCCTGTACATGTGCTACGATTCCTCGTGCACCGTGAGTCACAAATTATTGGCACACACGGGAAGTGACAGGGATATGAAAGATTAACACTTGAGAAGAAAATCTTACGTCATAGAGAATTGTTTTTGTTGTGTAGTAATAGACCTCCAAATGGTTTTCAATAGGAGTTTTTTTTTTTATTATATTGATTTATAGTATACCAAAGAAGTAAAATAAGCAATGTTTAATACTGGCACATGTACATAATTACTTGACAAAATCACTTTTAAAGTCTAAGTAAGTAATTCTAGTTAAATAAGCTTTGTTGTGTAGTTAACATGCATTTCAAACTGTGATAACCAATATATAAAAAAATAATTTGATCATAGAATTACTTTTTTTTCATTATGGCGAAAATTTAAGATAAATAAAAATTGTTAAAATGTATTTCCTTTTTCTTTTTTAACCGGTTCGTATTAAATTCAGCTCTAGGCAGCCAGCCAAGAATTTTCCTTTAGTCAAGGTGTCCGTGGGAATGTAAATCAAGAAACGCTGACATAACCCCTGAATAAATTCTAAAGTGTTGGTTTCAGGTTAAACGATGAAAGGCGATGCTGCGAGTCCACATTTAGCAGAAGTCGAGTCTCATGCGTTAAACACATGTTTGGAGCGTCGAGTGAATACGGTGTTGTGCATGAAGTAATCAAAGAAATGTACAAAAATAATGGATGTACGGGAGATAGGTTGTAAGACGCGTATTTTCGAAGTTATGGAAGATAAAGTGCGAGGCGAGGTGTTTCGGAAGTATCTAAATTTAAATACCGCGTTTAACACGTTCACGCCGGCAGTGTCCGTCGGTGGCTCACAATTATACAGGGTGTCCCAGCCTGAGTGATACAGAGCTCTAACTCGAAAACTATCGGCCGAATGGAAAATTTCAAATATGAAAATTGCATGGTAAAATGGGCCTCATGTTTCAGCGAGAAGGAATTTTTGTTAACTTTGTTATTTAACGTGATATGACGGTCAAATTTCGTTTTTCAAACGGAACTATATATATTTGTTTTATACCGTGTGATAATACATTTCAAGACGAATTCATTATGCTTTAATGTATTTACCCGATTTTTATTAGTTTTCAAGCTATAACGCTTCAAAGTTTGAACCCAAAGTTTCAACGCTTACAACCCTTTTTTATGGTTCTCACTGCCTGTTGTGTTCGTCGGTAATTTTAAACAGTATGATTCTAAATCTCGAAAACAACGCATGTATCATTCTAGACGAACTTAAAGTTATTATGAAAGTTAATCTCGTTTCTTTATCAAACAAAATCCGTATCCTCTAATCGCATCCTTAACACGAGGAAACGGAAGACATGTAAACTTCTAGGGGATACATTATTAAATACTTGTATACGTAAAAATAATGAATGAATCTTCGAATAGAATTTTATGCCGATCTCGAGATGCCTTGGATGAAGTGAACTTGTGTCGTTAATTTATTTCGTGGAGTTGTCTCAAACCATGAAACAAGTGAAGCGCAAAACGATTTTCAAGCTCGTAAATCGAACAGCAAGAGAGGGAGAGAGAGAGAGAGAGAGAGGGCCTGGCGCGATCGAGGAATTTAAAAATAGATCGAGATATCTTTCGTATTTTCAGAAGTTTGTCCCGACATAAAAGCTGTCGCGTCTTTGCTCTTTGCAAATTTTCATCAGGCAGTTTATCGCGTTAAAAAAAAAAAGAAAAAAGAAAAAAGAAAAAAAGAAAACGCGACATCTGTACACGAGAAACACGTTTTACACTGGTAGCGAGTAAAACAGAATTATAGGTTGGGCTTTACTCTCTCGACTCACAATGAAATGTTTTCAGACAATTGGAAACTGCATAATCTAGCAATTATGGGAGAACTTATTTCTGTAACTTTATCGTATTCATGAATTCTATCTAGATTTATTTTCTTTAGACACTTCACCTTTAGTATTGTACTTGTTTAGGTCCTTGTCTTAATCTGATGGCCAATTTCAATGTACCTACACGTATCTATAGTTCAGTAGCTAATAAATATTGCTTATTGCTGTTCTTCTAATATATTACAAGATTGCTTGGCAATTATCGAGCAGTGAGTCTCCCTTTTCCAAGCCTTCTAACCTCGCAGAGTATAAATAAAAAGTTTGCATATAGACACGAAACCCCGTGGAAAATAAGCTTTATCGCGAATAATAGCGACAAGAGTACAGTAACTGTTGTTTATTTTCTCGTCTATTTGGCGTGCAGCCGTGGCCGCACTTCCTTTTGTCCTGCCTCCTTTGAACTCGCTAAAAAAATCCACGACAAGGCGAGCTTCCGGGTATAAAGCTGAGTATCCATGAAAGAATGCGAAGTCTCGAGGAACGCTCTTCTCTACGCGGAAAGGAATCTCGAGGGTGAACCGTGCCTTAGGCATCATCGAGACATCGAGAACGATGCCCCGGGCATTAGGAAGCTACACGGTACGCCATCGTGATCTACTCGTAAAGGTGAATCTAGATAAGATTCCAGGAAAATTGCGGCGCTTCTCGAAACATTACAATTCATTATCTCCGTTTCTCTGCCGCCTTGAGAGCTGCGTCATCTGAATCATGACTATTACTGTCGCGGGCTCTTTTATACCATCCGCGGATACCGGTGGGTTTACTGCGTGATTTCCCTTCGCTAACGTACCTGCCAACTCACCGCTGAATCCTCAATAAATATTGATAATTACCTATATTTCTCACCCATAGACTCGCGACATTGTCGCAAATTGGATAGGTGTCGTCGATTAACGTCACCTTGAATTACCGTTTGCTTCATACAGTATTGTAATTCGTTCTTCAAAGTTCAATTTATTGCTGATAGGTCGTCGTTCAATTTGGAAGAATTGAGAAAAGAAGACGATTCGAAACTAGACTCGACTGTGTTGTGGCCAAGGATTTTTCATTTTCAGCAGTGATGGGCAAAATCGTAATCGCAAATACGAATACGATTGTAATCGAATGTTTTCGAGTTGTGATTACAAATACGATTACGACCGTATTTTTAAAGGTTTAATGCCATAGAAATTCTTTACCTCAAAATCAACATCAGATTCGTGTTCCTCACATTAACGTCACGCCAATAGTTACTATTGCTCCTTCGCTCTATCTTGTTCATGGCCTTCGTCACGCGGTAGCTTTGCAGAAGTGACTGATTCGGCCAATACCGAAAATGAGTGTGAGTAGAGGTGTCGCCGTTGCGCGATAGCCAATTGGGCTGCCTCGCCAACTCCTAAGCAACGGACAATAGGTCCTAAATAATGTCTCTAGAGATATACTTTGAATACAATTGAGTTAACGTCTGTTCTTGATCCTTCAAAGTTTCAATCCTCAAAGGGCAGTCCCATATTCCATCCATCAGCTCTAGTTAATAATTATCACAAATTTCTCAAATAAAAAATCCCATAAATGTGACGTCCTGAAGCATAGATCTTTCTAGAAACCTACATGTTCAGTTACACGTTGTGAATCCTACGCAACTTCCCGTCCAATTACGCAATAGCTGCGGTTGATATTTAACCCTTGGCATTGTTCGTCGAGCCAGGTGATCGCCGCTCGGTATTTCTCGTTGAAGCGATTTTAAGGCCGAAGTTGGAGGAAAATTGTAGGCAATGTCTGCCAGGTTACTGACGATTCTCGGGGATCGAAAGGTCGCGGATGCCCAGGCAAAAAGAACGAACGGAGTTCAAAA